TTCAAAAAATTGAAACGAAACACACTAAATATTTTTTTGTTAGTGCTCCTAAAATAAATTGAAAATTAATACCAATAATCTAAACTTATCATGAGAAATTTTTATATATTAATAGAATATCACGTGATAATTTTTTTTATCAATTACAAATATATATTCTCTCTGTTTCAAAATAATAGTCCCTTTTAGAGAATTTAACTTTTTTTGATAGTACAATTATTACACTATAAAAAAATTAATTTTTCAAAATCACCCTTTGATAGTATATTTTTTGAAAAATATTAATGTCATAATTATACTTTTTATGTTGTTAATAAATTTAAAAGAAGGACAAAATAAAAAATTTATATTATTTTTATACTTAATTTTTAAAAAGAGACTAATATTTTAAGATAATACAAAATAGAATAAAAAATTAATATCTTAAAACGAAAGAAATATATTTCTTATTTTTCTTTAAATACTCAATATTAATATAATATATTTTACTATTACATATGATCATAATAATATAAGGTACACGTGACATTGATCTTATCAGCAAACAAAACTTTCTTAAGAGGGAGAGAGATACACTATTGGTGGCTGACGGTTTGTTGGCCGTACGTGCGGTCGACCGTCTGGTGGAATACAAAAACACATGTAACACGTGCACTCACACTATCACTTCTCTCTCTCTCTCTCTCCCCCCTCCCATCACTATCTCTAGCTAACCTTGATTTGCTAATCAATCAGTGGAGTTGACTACAGCAGCTCTGATTTATTTATTTATTTTTTAACTTTTTAAAAAAATTTTAAACCTTTTTGGATCAAATTTTTTAATTTTTACGTATTTTTTTAAAAAATTAAAAAATTAAAAATTAATTTTTAACATATTTTCCAAAACAACTCTATGTTTATGAACCTTGACAAGTTTTAAAATGGGAAAAATAATCAGTGTGTTTGGTTTGAGTTTTCTGAATTAAATTTTTTAAAAATTAAGTTTTTTGATTTTTGTGTTTTTTTTATTATTTTTAGTGAATATTTTTAAAATTTCAAATATTTTTTTACTTTTTTAGATACATTTTACTTAGATGTATTTAAAAAGTAAAAAATTTGTGAAAAAATATTTTAAAAAATTAATAAATATATATTTAGATGCACCTTACTTAGATGTATCTAAAAAGTAAAAAATTTAGGAAAAAATATTTTTAAAAATTAATAAATACATAAAAATATAAAAAATGTACTGAATTCTTGTATTTTTTTTTATATTTTTGGAATTTAGTAAATTTTTAAAAGATTTTTTTTTACAATTTTTTTACTTCTTAGGTGTATTTATGTTAGGTGTGTCTAAAACGTAAAAAAATTGCTTAAAATATTAAAAAAATTCAGTAAAAACAAAAAAATACGGAAAATAAGAAAGTAGAATTTTCTGAAAAGTATTTTTTAAAAAGTGGAAACAAGCAAGGTGAATAATTTGTAATGTCTTTATGTATTTTTATGACAGTGTTACATTTTATAATGGGAATACTACTCAATAATTTGAAATATAATACAATCTATTATCATTAAGTAACATTTTGATTTTTAAAAAAAACCTTGCACAAAAACAAAAAAAAAAAAAAAAAAAAAATTAATTTTATGTAAGTTTTAATTTAATCAAACTCAAATTTTATTTTTTTTATAATATATATAAATTAATTAAGTTGAATTTGATCCGAGTTCATAAAATTAAATGAGTTTTAAAATATTTTTAATCTAATTTATTTATAAATGAGATTTTTAATAATCCAAACAAAAATTGAATCAATCTCAAATGAGATTTTTAATGAATTAATTAGAAGTCGTATGTGGATTGGAAAAATTACAAATTAGTGGTACAATTAAAAAATTATTACAGATTCATAATTTTTTTTTTAATTTTAATCATTAATGTGTATAAAGTTTACCACTTATTTGAATTTTTTTTTTGTAAAATGTCCACTGAAGTGGAATTTTCCCTATTTCATTTTGGATTTGGTTTCTCTCCAATTGGAGAAAAGTTCAATCCAGTCTAGTTAAGCTATTCAGCCCATTAAGGTCATGTTTGTTTGGGTGGACATGAGCTTGGGATTGGACTAATAATCCAATAAAATTATTAATCCGATGTTTGGTTAAACAATTAAAGTACGGACTAATTATTTTAAACTTGACTATTAGTTAAGATAGGATACATAATCCAATGGATTCGTAGTCCTAGGACTATTAGTCATGGGAATACTAATATCTTATTTATTTTGTTAGTCCCTACGTGTAAATTATACCAAAAAAATTGAATGATCTAATAATCAAATTCATATGACTTCACCTTATTTGTCATCAAAAAATAAATAATCTCTTTCAAAATCATTCTAGTTGTTTGTGTTTTTTAAGACAAATTTGAGAAAACGACTATGATTATCAGATTAATAATTTTTTCTTCATAAATGATTTATACAAAAACGTATAAAAGAAATACGTCAAATTACTAGAGTAAAATATGTAATAAACTTCAAGGAAGATTCACAATGTCCTAATGAATGATCACATTTTTTTATCAGTTTTTGTTTATCATAATATGTGATAACATTTGTATTGTGGTGTAATCTATAATATTAATACAGTAATGATTTAGAGCTTTAAATAATGAGTTCTAAATCCTGAGGTGAAAAAAAAAATAAAAAACAAAAAAACTGTGGCAGCAGGTGAGACTCATTGCCACACCATTAGTGGTAGCACTAATTAGTGGTCTCAAATATTATTGATATTAATATAATATTGACATATAAAATAATAAATAAAATTATACAAAAAAATTAATTAAAAAAATATTTATACATGTGATGCATATTATACTATTTAAAAATAATAAAATTAATATGTCATTGTCACAGTCTTTATAATTGATTTTAAATTTTACTTTAGTCCCTCTTTTATTTTACTCATAATATTTTTCCATTTTAAATTCCTCTTGGATTTTGGAATTTTTTTTTTACAAACATAAAATAAATATTTTAAATAAAAAATTATAAAAATATTATTAAAGTGAAATGTCAATGACATTTTAAAAATTATGAAAACAATAATGGTTGTTTTGATTGAAAATGAAGAGACTATTATAAATAAACCATATTAGCTATGAAAATTTTTGAATGTAACAGCGATATTATTATTAGTGATATGCAAGTATGAGTAATCTCACTATAAAGATATAAAATTTATTAGATTGTTAGTTACATTTGACATGTGAGATTTACTTTTTATGCGTTTATTTATCATTAGTGGGTGATATCACATTCCAATGATGACGTGGTATTACCATTATATTGAATTTTTAATTAAATTTTGTATCAAAAAATAATTTATCATTATATAATTTATTTTAAGGCTTGTATCCATATTTTTTTTTTGTATTGTCCATGATACGCTAGTTACAAATAACATTTAGCTTATTTGTTTCCAGTTTTCAGAAAATTTACTTTTTTATTTTTCGTATTTTAATGTTTTGAATGAATTTTTTAATATTTTAAGTAATTTTTTTTTAATTTTTAGACACACCTAACATAAATACACTTAAAAAGTATAATATTTGTGAAAAAAATATTTAAAAAATACATTAAATACCCAAAAATACAAAAAAAAAACCCCGAAAATTTGGTATATTTTTTTGTATTTTTGTGTATTTATTAATTTTTTAAAATATTTTTTTACAAATATTTTATTATTTAAATACATCTAAGTAAAGTGAATTTAAAAAAGTAAAAAAATTACTTAAAATTAAAAAATATTCACTAAAAACAAAAAAATACGAAAAACAAAAAAACTTAGTTTTCAAAAAATTGAATTTAAAAAACTGAAACAAAACACACTAATTATTATTATTTTTTTATGTTTTTTGAAATCAATCGTAAAAACTTGTATGAAATATTTTTGTAAAAATTATTGCAATGAATAAGTGCCCCCTCTAATTTAATTTTTTGGCTCCGCCACTGTATGACACAGTCCAATGCGGATCGGGGATGGTGCTCTGACTAAGTGATTGTTTAACTTGTGTTAAAATAGCGGATGTTATTTTAGCATATTATTTTATTTAAGTTACAATTATTTTATTTAGTTCACATTATCTTTTTATTAGATCACTTTAAATTCAATTCATATTTCATAATTTTTTTTTATAAAAAGTTAAAAAAAATATACTAATTTAATACTTTTCAAATAACCCAAGTCATAACAATGATATGTTGCTTGTGTTTGGCAAGTGGGTTTGCAGGTTTTTTTTGGCTATTTTAGCCACAAAAAATAAAATAGGCTATTTTAGCCATAATAAACAAAACATCACATCCAACCTATAATCATTACATTCTTCTCTCACAAAAAAACTCAAAAAGCCAAAAAGCCCTTCCCAAACCAAGCTTTTAAGCCCAGGCTAAAATAGCCCAAAAAGCTAAAAAGCCAACCCACTTCCCAAACGGAGGCGTTGTGAGTCAGTGGAGATTTTTTTCAAGTCTTTTTCAATAATTTAAATCGTTTATATTGTAGAATTTGTCGAGTATATCATCCATATAAAAAATCAAGTTAATCAGAAATTTATAACCCCATGATCAGATTCGAATTATTTTATAAAAATTATCTACATAATGTCAACCGTTTATTTTTTTTGAAAACAAATATACTCTTGTTATAAAGTTATAAATTTTTAATCAATTTAATTTTTTACATGAATAATTTATTTAACAAATGGTTTAAATTATTAAAACAACAATACTCTTCCAGTGCCACATGGCGGCCTGGGGTTGGCTGAAAATCTTAAAAAAAAAAAAAAAAAAAAATATTTTTTTTTTACCAATGAGAACCGGACCCCAACTGGGGTTCGAAGCTTTATTCTTATTAAAAAACATTCGAAAAAAACTTTGATAGGCTCACAGCAATCTGCTGTGACTTAGCATCCCCAGATCCGTCCAATGCATGGATGCTGGCTCAATCAACAAATCAACACCCTCCTTCACATGCTTTTGTGTATCTATTTATCATTCTCTCTCATCACTACTCTCTTTCTCACTACCCAAACACCCAAGAAAGATCACATACCCATCTCCTCTCTATCAATCCATCACTCCAATTCTCTTCCTCACCTGACCTCAATTTCTCTATATAAATCCCCAATTCACAGTTTCTTGTCTCTCTCTCCATAGATCTTTTTTCTCTCTCAGAAAACAAGCTGAGAAGAGAATAAGAACATGGCTCTGTCCTCCAATTCACTCCTCACCAACAACAAAACCCATCTCCTCTCACCTCCTTCCTCACTACCCACCACCCCTTCACTCTCTCATCTCCTCCCCATCTCCAAGCCCCGACCCATCTCCGCCGTCCACTCCGCCAAAAAACCCCCCAAGTCCTCCTCCACAACCACCCAATTCCCCCCCAAATGGACTCTCGATAGTTGGACTTCCAAACAAGCCTCTCAGCTTCCCGAATACCCGGACAAAGTAGAGCTCGATTCGGTCCTCAAAACCCTCGAATCGTTCCCTCCGATCGTCTTTGCCGGCGAGGCTCGGAGCCTTGAAGATCGGCTCGGCCAGGCCGCTCTCGGGAACGCTTTTCTCTTGCAGGGAGGTGATTGTGCCGAGAGTTTCAAGGAATTCAATGCCAACAACATTAGGGATACGTTTCGGGTGCTTCTGCAGATGGGTGTAGTTCTTACGTTCGGTGGTCAGATGCCTGTCATCAAGGTCCCAATCTTTTTTCTCTCCTCCTTTTTTATGTTTCCTTTCAATTCATATATATATATATATATATGCATGTATGTGATGAAAAGGAGTTGTGGGTATGATTAATTTGGTGGTTTGAAGTTTGGGTCTACAGAATCTTTCTTTGTTCTCTTTTTGAATGATAGTTAATTTTTTTATTTTTTTTGAATTGTTTATGAAGCAGATGTTTTTGTGTGCCTCTGTCTATCTGTCTCCAAGTTTTGGGCTCAGATCAGGAATCTTATTATTCATTTTTTTTAACTTTCATTATGATTGTGGATGATTTGATCAGTTACATATTGAGTTTTTAGAGAGTTTGCTCTTTTTGTGTATTTTTTGCATAGGCTTGATGCTTTTTCGATAAAGTTTGTTTATTTACCAAAACAAAAAAAAAAGTCTTTTGGATGATATTGAACTGGGTGATTAGAAGTTGTGGCTATGAATTATGATAGTTCGGGTAGGAAGAAATGCAAATCAACATGTGAAGCTAGGATTGGAACTACTCTTATTTGTGTCAGTTGATCGTTCCTTGTGTCATGATTTCTTCAATTTCATGGAATGCCTTTCAATTGAATGTTTTGGTCTAGTGCAAAGGTGATTTGTGTATTTGATAAGATTAGACATACATATGACCACATCGAGTTGCCAATATCTTATGAATCCCAATTTTTCAGAATACATTTATGTTCTATTTGGACTATATATTTATATCAGACACTATAGATGATAGCTTTTGGATTGAGTGACTAAAAATTACGGGGAAGTTGTTTTAGGTTGGAAGAATGGCTGGTCAATTTGCGAAGCCAAGGTCAGATCCGTTTGAAGAGAAGGATGGAGTGAAGCTGCCTAGTTATCGGGGTGACAACGTGAATGGAGATACATTTGATGAGAAATCAAGGATTCCAGACCCTAATAGGATGATCAGAGCTTACACACAATCTGTGGCAACATTGAACCTCCTTAGGGCTTTTGCTACAGGAGGGTATGCTGCCATGCAAAGGGTTAACCAATGGAATCTTGATTTCAGTGAGCACAGTGAGCAAGGGGATAGGTATGGTGTTAGCTCCTTCAATTTAAGTTAAACTTCATATACAGAGTTTGAAACTAGCGTCTTCAATTTAATTCAAAGTTTATTTCTGTCGATTTGAATGATTTTTTGCTATTTGTCTTTTCCAACAGGTACCGTGAATTGGCTCATAGGGTTGATGAAGCCTTAGGGTTCATGGCTGCTGCTGGCCTCACGGTTGGCCACCCAGTTATGACAACAACGGAGTTTTGGACATCTCATGAGTGTCTTCTTCTGCCATACGAGCAGGCACTTACTAGGGAGGATTCAACTACTGGCCTTTATTACGATTGCTCTGCTCACATGATTTGGGTTGGAGAGCGCACACGGCAACTTGATGGTGCACATGTTGAGTTCCTACGAGGAGTTTCCAACCCACTTGGCATCAAGGTATGTTTTTTACTCTAATTTTTCATTCAAATCTTAGAAATTACTGTTTTAGTTCTTTAGTCTTCTCCTTAGTTTGCCTTGATTCCTTGGCTTTGGGGCTATCTCTTGTACTAATGTACAACGATTAGCATCTAAATTTGAAAAAATAAATTTATTTAGTATTTATCTGAAGAAGTGAAATCAGCTTTCTGTGTAAAGAGTAAAATTTGATTGTCTAACGCAAAGGGTTTGCAATGCAGGTGAGTGATAAGATGGATCCAAATGAGTTAGTTAGGCTCATAGACATACTGAATCCTCATAACAAGCCTGGAAGAATAACAATAATCACAAGAATGGGAGCTGAGAACATGAGAGTAAAGCTTCCCCATTTGATTAGGGCCGTTCGCAGATCAGGCCAAATTGTCACATGGGTTAGTGATCCCATGCATGGAAATACTATAAAAGCTCCTTGTGGCCTCAAAACTCGTTCCTTCGATGCAATCAGGGTATGGTTACTAATATCTCTTAGTTTGTACCTTTCTTCTGTGTGTAGGATCTATATGTTATATTCTACTTCATTGTTCACGGCCTTTTGATAAATGTCATTGTCTTTACCATAGAACTGTTTAAAAATCTCTGATTTAGTTCCGCAACCTAACCTCAGTGATTTGAAAGTAATTTGTAGTTTTTTTTTTTTTGTTTTGAATCTTTCCTTCTCTTGCTATAGGTATTGTCTTACAGTCCTAATTAGGTTGTTTTTGGCTATGATATTTCATCACTCAACAGTGTTGAGTGGAGTCTAATGAACTTGGTTCCCTCCCCCATTCCCCTTCTTTTTCCTTAATTTATTTGTAGTTTTTTTTTTTTGTTTTGAAATCTTTCCTTCTCTTGCTATAGGTATTGTCTTACAGTCCTAATTAGGTTGTTTTTGGCTATGATATTTCATCACTCAACAGTGTTGAGTGGAGTCTAATGAACTTGGTTCCCTCCCCCATTCCCCTTCTTTTTCCTTAATTTGGGATGGGAGATTGAAATATGTTTTGTGGGTAGGACCGGAACTGCTGTTGAAAAATTAGCTCAAATGAAAGTCAAGTGATGAGATTGCTTTGACTTGCATGTAAGCCAGGCATTTCTTAAGTTATCACGATAGTCACATTTCATAGCCTGCAAGGCTGGAATTTCATTAGTAACAAGAAGCTAGTCTGCTCTTCTCCATTTTTTTTGATTTGTTGTGTATGTGGTTTTTTCAATTTGGGATCTTTGCTTCTCTAGTGGCTGTCTCAGGTCTGTCTCCGTGTGTGTGTGAACATATTAGTCCAAAAACGACTGCAGCTCAAATATAAACTTGGAGGAAACTTGGTGCTTAAAATTATTTGCAATTCTTAATGACGATGATGTTTATTTTTCAATTTGGGATCTTTGCTTCTCTTGATCATCGTGATTTTCAGGGTCCTAATTGATTGCACATTTGTCTGGTAATAAATATTTTTTTAAAGCTTAATTTATTAACCAACTGGAGGATTGGTGGCCCTCCCCCTCTCTCTGGTTTTCGTGGTTCTCAAAAGAGGAGAATGATAGTAATATTGATAACGATAGTACTTTGCTTCGACAGGCTGAGGTAAGGGCATTCTTTGATGTGCACGATCAAGAAGGAAGCTACCCAGGAGGGGTGCATCTGGAGATGACGGGGCAGAATGTGACTGAATGTGTTGGAGGTTCGCGAACCATTACTTACAATGATCTGACCTCACGCTATCACACCCACTGTGACCCAAGGCTCAACTCTTCTCAATCTCTAGAGCTTGCCTTCATTATTGCGGAGAGGCTTCGAAAGAAGGCTCGGACCGCAACTCTCTTTCAGGCTTTAAGGAAGCTATGGTTTGTCACCCTTGTCTAAAATTTTAGCACTTGGTTATAAACCTTGTTTGTTTATCTATCTATAAGTTATAACTAGTGTTATGTGTTTTGTGTTAGTCTATGAGTTCATAATTTATATATCTTTTGTTTTCTGGACTAGGCCTGTTTTCGCTTTAGAGAAATTTCTCATATGGAAGGTCATAGATGTTTTCCTATAAAGGGATGCTACCTACACGTTTCGAGTTTCATTGTAAATTTTTGTTTTGGGTGTTAAATTAATTTTCCTATCAAAAAAAATAATATTCAACATATTTGTTGGTTGTTATGATCAAAGATAAAGATGAATTATTGAGGTTGCAAAGGGTAAAATTGTTCAATAGTGGACTATTAACTGTACTTTGTCTTCATTGATTAGTACATGTTTGGATTTTGAGTTAACATATTAAAAACTAAAAATAAAATGACTTGGATTATATATATATTTGTAGGTTGTTTTGGCAGAGACTGGGAACTTTGAATTCACATAAGATATTTTTTGGATGCCATATACAGCCAAAAGCAACAAGTTTTATTTGCCCTTTATTTGTTTTCGTATTTACCTAATTTATGCACAATTTTTTTTTTTTTACCAATTCTTATTATTATTATTATCATTTTGCCTGTGCAAGTGCAGTTCGGTTCGGTATTTTATAAGAAATAAATATATGATATGTTGGTGAGACACAGAAATTTCTAAGCTTGAAGACCAAGTTCATTATTTTGATAGAGAAATTTCCAACTTCTTGTGGCTTCACTCTCACATCTTTCCCTTTTCTTTTCTTTTCTTTTCTTTTTCGAGATTTGCTGACAATTAATCATTTGAAGCAAATGGCACTGAATGAAATTTAAGTACGAAATGGAACTGGGAAAGAACTTTGCATGAAATGAAATTAACATCGTGCAAATCAAATCATGTAAGGAATTAGATATCTCGACAATTTAGGATTGAACTCAACCTGACCAGGATGATTGATTGAACATACCAAATTTACATACACTTTGATATTATCATTTTAGCACAGTAATTGAAGATATTGGCCGTGTTTGGGAACCATTGAGACAGACTATTTTAGCCTCAAATGGCAAAAAAAGCTTTTTAGTCTCACCTAACCCGTTGATTTTCCAAAAATAAAAATAAATAAATAAATAAATTGGAAAGCAGCAGCAGACAGCCTACAGACAGTTAAATGATCATTTTATCCTTATAGATCAATTTTGAAAAAGTTAAGATTAGGGGTAAAGTTATTATTTTAATCTTAAACATCATTTCAAACATATTTTTTAATAAAACAATCAACTCAAAAATTTAACTCAATTTTTTAAACATAAAAATTAAAATAACTTATTAAAAAAAAATTAAAAAACTTTAAAAAAAAAAAAAAATCATCTTCCAAACACCCATCACATCATCTGATAAGCAACAAGTCAGCGTGTGATTAAACCTAAAATTTGATAAGATTTCGGAATTTTTCTCTCTCCAATTGGTTATTGTATTTTATGATAATTTCGTAAAACTTGACATGACACCTTACTATGTTAGCCCCCTTCTCTCAGCTAGCTCCGTCATATCTGTTCATCTCTTTTTGTTAAATAGATATTTACGCTGTTTGATTGGGAGATTTATAAAAGAATTTCAAAAAAAAAAAAAAAGTGTGTGAATATCTATTTGTCAACAATTAGGTCAAGTTTGGCTACTTAAAATAAGTATGAATTTTTTATTTTTTTATCTTTTTTTCATCATATCACCTCTCTATTTTTTTGTACATCTTTTCATATAAAGACAAAAAGTACACTTATTTAGTCATCCCAAACAACCGTCATATTATTAAAAAAATAATATTGTTATATATTTTAATAGTAAATTGCATATTTTTTTCTTTTACATCTTATGTCTTGATATTGTTTGCTTCATTAGTTTGAGTCACAAATAGAGGTAAGTGTAATTATATCAAAATTATGAAATTTATTATATTTGTTTTTTTCAAATCTTAAGAATCTTACCCCCCCCAAAAAAAAAAAAAAAAAAAAAAAACCAAAAAAAATTAACTTTTGATTGAAAAAATTAAATGTCACATAATTTTTAGCAACTTTTTAATTAAAAAAAAAACCATCAAATAATTACTTTAATATACCATCCCATCTCACATGTCATATCGCAGAAAAAATTAACTCTAAAGTTTAAAAAATTAATACATTCCCGTTTAGCTTTCAACATAATAATATTACTCTGCGATGTTTTAGAAAAATAGTTAAAAAGTAACCTTTTATAATTTTTTTTTTGTGTAAAAATTAACTTTTTTGTAATTTTTTTTGTATAAAAAAACAAAAAAACTAACTTTTTTAGCTTGTTTCCAGAACACCACTCTAATTAGGGATGTAATAATGACCCGGCCCGGCCAAAATGAGTCGGACTGAGCCGACCCAAGCAGGCCTCGCGAGCTCTCTCCTTTTTAGTGAGCCAAACCATGGGCCAAAAACTGAGATCCAGGCCCAAGCCCAAATACACTTATAATAGGGCCTAGGGCCAAGTCGGGCCTTATCTTTTTTATTAGGAATAAAAAATAAAAGAAAAATTATACTAAAATATTTTAGTTAAAATTAATGAGATATTTTGTTTGGTTATGTTTCATTGTGATATTTAAATTTAATTATGTATGACTCATGTTTTTTTTAATTATGAACTTATAACTAAAAAAATATGTAATTATGTAATTTTTTTTCTTTCGAAATGAATAATTTTATATATATAAAAATGAAACTTTCAATATTACAATATTAAATTATATTTATATAACATTTATTGAATGAATAATTTTTATTTGAAAATGAAATAAAATATTACAAAAATTAATATGATTAAATAAAATAAGTGTAGATTATTGAGCAATTACATCACTATAGGTCAAGTACATCACAACTAAGTTGGCACCTACTAGCTTACCAATCATTTGCATTATACTCTACTTCAATAATCTAATATTAAAAATTAAAAAAAAATGAAATGAAACGAAATAGTAAAAAACAAATTGTTGATCAATTATCGGAGGAGACAGACATTTCAGTCGTGTTGCCCTATCCAAATCATTGTGAATTCATTTTTTTTTTCATTATAATTTTGTCTTCTTGTAAGCACATGCATATGATTTTTGGATATCATCAATGCCTCAACCATTTGGGGTGAAAGCCTGCTCCGGTAATCGCTATATACCCGTCCAACTGCACTAAAAGCTGTTTCTGAAGCAACTGTAGAAATAGGAACGGTTAGTATATCATCGGTCAACTATGAAACCACAGGCCACATAATTTCATTTTGTTTCCACCATTCTAAAATGTCAAAATCATCAGAATCATCCACTGACGGGCTTTCCAAATAACGTTGTAGTTCAAAACTGCTTATAGTTGTATGTTGAGAAATTCTTATACTTTTTATTGTTGAAAAAACACTTAAATCTCCTGCCTCGAAATGAGACTGCTAGCGTAGTGTGTGTGAGTGTATTTACAGATACAGTTGTCCTGTATTCAAATAATCTATTGCATGTTTGCATAATAGGGGCAAACTGTGTTTGATCAACGATAAAAATTCTTGTAAACCAATTTCTTTATACCTAGGATAAATTATTATGGCTAAACCTAATAGATAAGGCAAATGATCAAAATATTTATCAAATTTTGCTTTCATTGAAGTAACATTAGATATATATATTTTTTTTTCAAAAAATAAAAAATAAAAAATAATGCTAAAAAATATATTGAAATTATAATTTTTTTAAAAATTTAATATTTCTCATTAAGAACATCTACAATGCTTTATCAAATTTGAGTAAAAATTTGACGAAAAGTTTGATCTAATATGATGTACCTAATGATAAATTTAAAATTTTCATCAAATCTTGTTACAAGCCCGGTTGTCCAAGAGGATGTCTAGGAAGACATTCTGCCATAAGCAAAAATTGACGTTCATATAAAGAAAGTCCGGTTGTCTGAGAGGATGTCCGGTCCAACGACCATCTACAAAATTTGATGAAAGGATAAATCTCTCTTGATTTTATAAAAAAATTAATTTTCCCTTCATTTAACATCATTTTGATAAAATGATCGAAGCTGAATTTTAAAGTGTTTTAATTTGATGGACGGTAGATGGCCTAATAGTCTTTAGAACTATCATCAATAATACTTTTTTAAAAGTCTAAAATACTCATTCCCAAAAAAGCATACAAAAGTTGGAATGAACATGATTCAAATTAGTTCGGTTTAATCATAAATTAATATCAATCTATTACCTATGATTTCATCAAATTTGAAACTAAACAAATCCATGATAATCTTAGAATCAATCCAATTCAAACCAAACCACTAAACCACCGTTAGGTTCAGTTTGAAACCACAAATTTTTAAAATATTATTATTATTTACAATATGATCACAAAATATTATTCACAACTTAATAATTATGTACATGATTGTCTAAAACTAATTCTATCATTGTACAAAAATATACTTATATTCGATAATAGTAAAGAGTTACAATTTATATATATTTGATATTGTAGTATATATATTCGATAACAAATTACATATATAATTTAAACGATCTGATTTGATTTCAATGGAATTCGTAGTTATAAAATCATGAATCAAATTGCGTCCATCTATTTAAACCAAACTATGTAATTTGGTTTGAACCAAAGCAATTTATGATTTTTAAAATTTCTATGCTCAGCCTTCTACAAAGTTGTATCTTTAGCATGACCATGAACTATTCACCCAGAGCATCCACACAAATCTCTTCAAATTTTTAGTCAGATTATAACTTAAAAAGCTATTTTGTTGTTTTAGCTAGTTACTTTTTTAGTACCCACTTCATCAAACTCTTTATTCTAACTCAATCCTATTAAAATATTATTTTTTATTATATCTGTTATTCTTTCTTTTTTTATTAAATTAATGAGCTGGCTTGATCAAGTAGGCGTTTCTAGCCAAACAATTCCTATGTTCCTTTGTAAAGGTAAATTGGAGGAAACAGAGGCTTGCGGTTCGGCTCGGGCAGTCATCGTGCTGATCTCCGATTGAGTTGAAAATTTTTGTGGTTGATCTACTCAATTAATTTTAAAATATAAACGGATCAGATCATTAAAAAGTCACCGACACGGTGGCCAACTGGTGCGTTTCGGGCAAAACATAAAGACCCCAAATCCAAAACTAGACCATTTTCTTCAATTATTCTGCTATGCATTCCAATGGCTATATTTATCAACGATCATAATTTTTTAAA